GAGAGAAGGTGTGTGTGTGTGTGTGTGTGTGTGTGTGTGTGTGTGTGTTGAAACTAGAAGGAGCACCATGACAATGAAGGAAAGGATCTTAGAGGGGAGAAATAATGGAATATGTGAGGCATAAAATCAAGGGAAGCTTTTCTGTGGGAGAAAAAGAACCAGCACGGCGGGACAGGGGAAGGAAGGGTAATGAGGGAGGAAGAAAAGAAACTAGTATGAAAATACCATAATACTAATATTCATGCTATGTTAAAAGATTAATTTTAAAAACTGGACATGCATGTTTTAAAGGGTTATTTTAAATAATAGTCCTAACTGGAAAATTAGTTACTATCAACACATATAAGCATTTGTGGGGGGTATGCATGTACCTGCTATATTATGGTTACAATATTTTGTTCCTAGTACTTCTAGTTAATGTAGTTATTGGGGTGAGGGGAAATGATTTGGTCATTCAAGTTCTATGGTTGCTGATGTACATTCTCCATGGTCTGTTATTTTTATATTTAGGTGAATATTTTTGATTTTTTTTAAATTTACATTTTTTGCTTTTTTGTTTTTAATGTTCCAAATGAGCTTCTGAAGACTGTAATCAAATTACCTAGTGAACTTTCTGCTCTCTTTTGCTAATGTTTGCTTTTCTTTCTTTTTGCCCTCACCAGAGGAAATAAAAGTTGAAACTGAGAAACAAAGGTTTGTATAATTTCTTTTATAAAATTAATTTGTATACTTGTCAGTCTTGGCCAAAATAGTAATATAATCATCTATATTTTTAGCATTACAGATTTTCTTTATATAATCTTTGTAATAAAATCAAAAATAGTTCTTAAGAAACAACTTCATATAAATTAGACATTTCTGAAATACCCTGAGCTATATTTTAACTTCTTTTCTTGAAGGGTTTATTGCATATTTAGAAAAATTACTAGGTTTCTTTGACCATGTTAGCTTCTTTAAGAACAGAATGGAGTTATTCAGAAGTCCACTGCGGCATGAAGGCACTTGGAAAGTCCATGGCTGCTTAACGTTCCATGTGTCAGGTCCTTTGAGATGTTTATTTAGTGGACCTTGGGACCTTTGGGAAGATAGAAATCCCGTTTTGTGTTTGGCAGCTGTGCTGACTGCTGTACACTCTGTGCCACAGAGGCCTTGGCCCTACATAAAAGTGGTTCCTAAAGTCCCTTCTATAACTGATTTTTTTCTTAATGAATCTGTCATCGTTAATGTGGTATTCTAATTAAACTCTCCTTTTTTATTTAGTCCTCCTCACGGAGAAGCAAAAACTGGATCAAGTACCCTTCCACCAGTGAAGTCAAAGACAAATTTTATTGAAGCAGACAAGTACTTCTTACCTTTTGAGTTGGCATGCCAGTCCAAATGTCCTCGAATAGTTAGTACATCTCTAGACTGTTTGCAGGTGTGTATAAAATGGTATCTATGGCTGTCTATTTTCAATGTATTTCTAATACTACTCACAGTTGGTGATTTAGACATGTCCATAAAAGCCTGGAATACTCTTTCTGAGGTAAGAAACAAAATAGTCATTTATATTCCAGATAGACAGTAGCTTCAAAAAGATGTTTCTGGTTAGTAATAATAAAACTTATTAGCAAACAAAATTTAAGGTTGTTAATAAAAGTGTTGATTTGCTCTCTTTCTATCAGTGATACATGTTGAGATGGGCATTTAGTATGTTCCTTGTGTGGTTTTGAACTCTAGTTTCAAGCAGTCATTCTGTCTGACCCTCCTAAAGTAGCTAGGCCCAAGGGCATGCACCACCTTACTTAAGTCATCATTTGGAAATGATTTCACTAAAGCCCTGTTGATTTACAGAGTGCAGCATTTTGATGTGACACTGTTTGCCTTCTTACTATTTTCCTCACCTGTGGCATTGATTAATGTCAGAAATATTCACCAGTGCTCCCCCCTTTATTCTCATATTACAAATACACAGTGTTTTAGATGTTCTGTGAGACAAACTTCAAGATTTAGAGTGTTAGTGTTTGTTTTCAGGTATTGTCACTGTTTGGAGATTGTACATTCTCAACTATTAACTTAGTAGCCAAGAAAAGATGATTTGTTCTTAAGATAGGTTAAAGATAAATTCATCTGATTTCTGACCTTGCTTTTGCTGGAAAACTAGCATTATTAACATCGAATTCCTTCCTTCTCAGTTAAGATGGTAATAGTGAATGGATCATAATTCTGAGGTTTTTGTAGCCAGTATTTGGAAACTAGATTTCATGAAAATTGATAATATAAGTTAGAAAGAAGTTTGATGTCATTTCAAAATATTAAGTTAGTTGTGTCCCCTCACTCCCCAACCCCTATCCCCGAAAACTACCAGGAAAACCTTGTTTACATAGACAGCATCGAGCAGTTCTAACATATCACAAACATGTTCTTTACACATGACTTTCTGGAAAGATTGCTTAGTAGTTTTGTTGTTATCAGTATGTGTTTGTGATTATTCCAGCCGCAAATTTCTAACATATCACAGACATGTTCTTTACACATGACTTTCTGGAAGTCTTTCCTAGTAGTTTTGTTGTTATCAGTATGTGTTTGTGATTATTCCAGCCGCAAATAGTTTTCTAATTTTAGTCAGTACATTATACAGAGAAAAAGGTATAGTCTTTGACTTTGATTATACTTTGATGTTTTTGTTTAAGAATGTAATGTATATACATTCACATGTATTTTAATTCATAGTCATTGTATTTATTGACTAGCTTCTTTATTATGTCTGTTTCAGAAACTTATTGCTTATGGACACCTGACTGGCAATGCTCCAGATAGTACAACACCAGGCAAAAAATTAATTGATAGGATTATTGAAACAATATGTGGCTGCTTCCAGGGTCCTCAGACAGATGAAGGAGTTCAGTTGCAGATCATAAAGGTAATTAGTTATATAAAGTGAGTGTGTTATTTATTATATATACTTTTACAGAAGCTTTTTGCCTTGGAAATGTTAGGAAAGGTGTTTTTGGGTGTTTTTGTTGTTTTTTGTGCATTCTGGCTGTGATAGAGATCGTTGAGATAATGTTTAGAATCCATATGAGATTTGCTGTTTTATGCTAAGAGTTCACTAGAAGAAAACTACATTCTGTATCTCTTCTTTTGGCCCTCCCAGTTAGGATTACCTGGGGTCTTCACAAGTTTTTTTGTGCCTGCCCTGCTTATACATATTCCATCTTTTAAGTTTTAAAATGATTCATATGGTTGTGACCTTAGTAATCTTTTCTGTATTGTTAGATCCCACATCGTCCTTCTTCTCAGTACATGTATCACTTAAGTGTACTGTTTTTCTACCAGCTTTTAGTATTCTCTTGTGCCCATCCACCTATTGAATTTGCTCAAAAAAAAAAAAAAATCCAAGTTTGTGCTTTAATGAACCTGAATGTTGAATTCTTTTGGAGAAAACTAGTTATGTTATAGTTGTTAATATTACAACTATGATAGTGGAAATATGTTTATATATTGATACAATATTGCATGAGGCATATCTATGCTCAGTTGTGATGAAATGTAAATACTCTGCATTTTAATAAAAGTACTATATCTGATGAAATTTAAAGATGTTCTGGAATTCAGAGGCCTATGGGGAAACTGCTTTCAGAGTGGTGAAAGCCTGTTTTCATAGTAACATATTCCAAGTAGGTAGAAATATATACACAGTACTACCTAAAGTAGTAATTATTTTTGAAAGTTTTAATTCTGAAATGAAAGTAGATATTTTTATGCTTAAACTCTGGATGCAGAAAATTGCTTTTTGTTTATTTTCTCTCAAAGGCTTTACTTACTGCAGTGACATCCCAGCACATAGAAATCCATGAAGGAACTGTCTTGCAAGCTGTGAGAACATGCTACAATATCTATCTAGCCAGCAAAAATCTCATCAATCAGACAACAGCCAAAGCTACTCTTACTCAGATGCTAAATGTTATCTTTGCACGCATGGAAAACCAAGCGGTAAGTATTGAAAGAACACCACAGGTGTTTAGAGTAGTTGTAGTGAAATTTGAGTTTCTGTACACCATGTCTTTTGTGTACAGAATTCCTGTGTGTGTTTTAGTCTTAGTTTTACTGACTTGTTTGACTTCAGACAGATGGACTTTTAATTTCACAAACAATGTGTAAGATTGAGTACCTCATGGAAGTGTTTGTATATTGATATTTTTACCAAACTTAATCATAACAAAGTATATAGTAGATATAAAACTACCTCATTTGACCTGTTCAGGTATAAAATTATTCATTAAGTCTTAAAATGAAAGTATATTTTATATTGATGAAGTATATTTTATTTCTTTCATATATTAAAGGGCTTATCCCTTTGTGATAGTCCTTATCCTTAAAACTACTTCAGGTTGATTGAAAAGAGATTAAGAACTACAGACTTAACTTGGGTTTTTATTTGTTTTGTTTTGCATCTTATTGCATAGGTCTTCATAATTAAAGACTGCAGAAATAATTGAGAGATAGTTTACCTCCACCCTTGACTTTCTGCTTTTTATTTTTAAATTTTGTGTATATGTATGTATGGTATGTGCTGATCTGCTCCCCCAGTATGTGACATCATGAGGCCTTTTTTTTTTTTTTTTTTTTTTTTTTTGGAGATAGGGGTAGCTTCAAGATCTGTGTGTCTTCACCCCTCCCAGAACTAGAATTATAGATACATGGCACTGCCACTGACCTGGCTGTTACGCTATTTCTCGTGCTATCACGCCAAGCACTGTGCCACCTCCAGTCTGACTCTGTTTCCCTTACTGCCAGTGTAAGCATAGTATACCTGTCAAAAGCAGAACTAACTAGTCCAGAGCCCTACTTGGATTTCATCAGTCCCACCAGCAATATCTGGTTCTGTTTCAGCAGCTGACCTAGGTAGGATTCCTGCATTGTATTCACTTGTTAGGTTTTTGTCTTTTCCATTCTGTTACAGTGCCTCAGCCTTGCCTTCTTTTTCATGATCTTGCTTTGTTTCCTGTTTTCTCATGATTACAATAAGGTTATACTTTTTTTCCCCCTAAATAGAAATGTATCCTTTTTCATGCATTATGTTAAGAAGCTAATTCTGGTTCCTTTTTTGGCCAGTGATACTAACTTTGATCACTTGGTTACAGTTCAGGTGTTAAGAGCTGCTCTTGCAGAGGACTGGGTTTGAGTCCTAGCTCCCACATGTTGATTCACACCCATTTACCACTTTTTGTTTTGTTTTGATTTTTGTTTTTGAGACAAGGTTTCTCTGTATAGCTTTGGCATCTGTCCTGGAACTAGGCTGGTCTCAAACTCACAGAGATCTGTCTGCCTCTGCCTCCCGAGTGTTGGGATTAAAGGTGTGCGCCACCACTACCCTGCTTTCATTTACTACTCTTAATTCCAGGGGATCCTAGACCTTCTCCTGGCCTCCTTGCTTGTGTTGCACAGGCATATTGTACACAGGCAAATCACTCAAATACATAAAAGTAAAACATTAAAACAAGTAGTATATCTGTCAGGTTCCTCCAGTGTGAAGTTATTGATCTTTCTTTTGTATTTAATAGATATCTTGGAAGGTATTTTAAGACTATGCAAGTATGTTATTTTCCCCTTATATCCCATTTTAGTATCTTTCAATAGTAGATCTCATTGGGAATAATTCTTACTCTGTTGTTTCTTTGGTGGTATTTTTCTGTTTCCTTCTTTTTCTGTTTACTAACTAACTTTTTCAATTTACCCATTTATTTAGTTACTCAGTTGAAAACTACTCCTGGTTCTTTATTCTACCTTATGTATTGTAAACTGATATTATCGTTTTATTGCCCATGTTATCTCAGCTTGATGTCCTTTTGCCCACTTGACAAGATCCTATTCAGTTTTGAATACCTCCATACTTTCCTGAAATCTTCAGGTGTTTTATGCTCCTTAAAAAAAATACCCTTTTGTAGGCATAGTTTCTCTGTGCCCTCCCAAATAACCACAAAGAGACTTTTATTTATTATAAAAGCTTGGCCCATAGCTTATGCTCATTTTTAGCTAGCTCTTATAGCTAAGTTAACCTATTTCTATTAATCTGTGTCCTGCCCCAAGGCTCATTTACCTCATGTACTTTCCATCCTGCTGGCTCTGCATCTCATGGCCTTTCCTTAGACTCCGCCCTTCTTCTTCCAGCATTCTTAGTCTGGTCCTCCCACCTTATCCTGCCTAGCTATTGGCCAGTCCGCTTCTCTGTTAAAACAGTCACAGCGACATATATTCACACAGTGTAAAGGAACATTCCACACTCTTTGAAACTTTCCATAAATATACAGTATGTCATGATAACACCTACCTCTTCCCCCTTTAACAAATCCTCTCAGGACCCCTTCCACATCAAATCTTCCTCCCAACTCTATGTCCTTTTATAATTATTTAACACACTGAGTTCAATTAGTGTTGTCAGTTCTCATGCTTGTACCCTGGGGTGTGGAGACTGACTGGTCCACATTCCTGAAGAAATGGGACTCTTGCTCTCCCAGTAGCCACCAACTCTCAGTAGCTCCTCAACTAAGAGTAATGCCTCAGAAGTCCTTATGCATTCCATTCCGAAATTTGTAACTGACTTGGTCTTGTGTAGCTAACTACAGCTGTTGTGAGTTCATTTGTGTAACAGCCATATCATTCATGTTATTCAGAAGACATTTTACAGCACCCCTTGCCATCTTAATGGCTCTTTTTGCTCCATTTCTATGATGCTCCCAGCATCCCAGGATGGATAGGATATGGATGTCTATGTTGAACACACAGTCACTTGCTCTTACTGTACTCCTTTTTAATTTTGCCTTTTTAAGCTTTGAAATCAACCATTTCAATAAGGAGTTTGGCACTTTTAGTTGGGCAAGGACATTTATTTAGAAACCAAAATCTGAAACATAAATCATATAGGGGAAATACTGACCATGCCCGCTTGGGGGTAAAGTGGAACACAATTAAAGTGGATTGCAAAGGAGTCAGAACTATGACTATAACAAATAGTGTATTAGGAAGTACTCATGCGATGGAGCCAGTCCTGTATAGCCAGGCGGGAGAGGGCAAAAGGAGCCACATGCATGTGTTTCTGATAATCAAAGCCTTGCTAAGTCACTCTGCCCAAGTGTGCATGGTCAGCATCACCTGTGCCAGCTCCCAAGTGTGCGTGGTCAGCATTTCCCCTACATTTTTAAGTTAACTAGTATTCATTGTCTTAAAGTTCCTGCCTCTGGCTCTCTGAGAAAATAACAGCTAGAAAATATACCTATATTCTAGTCCCTCCGCCACCCATCTGTACACCCATATGTGACCTTTTTATCTGTGTGTATTTAGAGCTATATGTTTATACTGACATTTCTGATTCCAGTTCAACATCATAGAGTTCATTTTAGCCTTCTCCCTTGAATTACTTATAACTGCTTTCTCTAAACAGCAGGAAATCTGGCTTTTATTTCATTTTGGTATAGCTGTTTTGTTCTTTAATTTCATGCATGTATACAATGAATGGATCTTGGTTGTATCCACACTCCCATTCCTTCCCCCACTTAACACATTCCCCTCTCATGATGCTACTGCCTGGTTCTTCTCCTCTACCTCCCCCTTCTTTAGAAAAAAGTATTGAGTACAGTTAGTGTTGCCAACAGTCGCATGGGTATGGGGACATCCACTGGAGCATGGGCAACCTACCAGTGACCACATCCCTGAAGAAAATGTATTCTCTCTTTCCTCGAAGCCATTTGTGACCAATAGTTCCTCAGCTCGGTTCAGAGCTCTGGAGCTCCTCCTTCACCCATGCTAGAATGCTGGCTGGTTTCGTCTTGTATGTTTTGCAGGTAACTGCAGCTGTTATGAGTTCATGAGAGCATCTAAAAGATGCATTTCATAGCACTCTTCTCCATCCTCTGACTCTTGCATCTTTCTGCTTCCACTTCCCTGAGACCTAGGAGGGAGAGGTTGGCATAGTTGTTTCATTTAGGGCTTGGCATTCACCAGTCTCTTGCTCTCAGCTCCTGGGTGAGTTCTGAGTCTATGTTAACCACTGCTCATTGCAAAAAGCTTTCCCGTTAGAGCTGAAAGCAGCACTGCATCATTATTATTATTATTATTATTATTATTATTATTATTATTATTATTATTAAAACATTGGTGGCACAGCTGCACTGAGCTGAAAGGTGATATTCTCAGATCCCTCTGATACTGGTAAGCTGCATATGCTGAAGTATTGATTGCAGAGTTTTCATTCTAATCCTGCATCTAGTTGTGCCTTTATTTGTGAAATAATAGTTTTGAAATATTAATTATAAGGTTCTTTTACTTTTTTAGACATTAGAATCACTTAATTTTATTTATAAATTTGTAAAATTTTATATAATTTGAAATATTGCTGAAGATTATGAAATATTATTATTTGATACTGTAAAATATTTATCCTTGTGGAAATTAATCCTGTGATAATCCTTCATATCAGCTCATTAGACTGAAAGAGATGTGTGAGGAGCAATAAAGTTCTAAAAAGTGAAATCCTGGGATCCTGCTTGCTGATATTTTTAGCATCTTGTTAAGTGAGCCAGTTTACAAGGTGGTATTACATACACAACAGTGACAGATCTGCTAAAGTAAAATGCAAGTTGATTGACACAATTATTTCTATGCTTTCTAGATGACTGGGCAAAATGATATAAACCCTTATGACAATTTTGCTTACAAATATAGTTGTAACACACTGTTTAAATTAAAAGGTGTTTGATATGATGATGCCAGAACATGTTGAGAAAGGATGTGTACTAAAAAGTTCCCACCCTTTGTTTCCCGTTTGATCATTTCCTAATCTCCATTCACCCCATATAGATGCTTCTTGTATATCTTTCTAGACTTTATTTCCAGGTACCTAGACAAAAAGAGAATAAGCAAGAGAGGGAGAGAGAGAATGAATGAATGTGAAAAAGTATGTGTCTGTTGAACTTTGTTCTTATTTGTGGGATTTTTGTCTGGTTTTAAGTAAATATATTATTGGCAACAACCTAGTTACAACTTGGCGGCATTAAAATTGTTTTCTTTTTATTTAGATAGTACATTTCTCAGCATCAGACAGGAAATACAAGGTTTGGAGAGATGGCTCAGTAGCTAAGAGCACTTGCTTCGGTTCCAGAGCACCCCAGTTGAGTTAGCACTCAAATCAGATGACTCATAGTCGAATGCCCTCTTCTGGCCTCCATGAGTACTAGCCTAGCACACATGTGGCATTCTCTCATGTGGACACACACACATAGAGATAAAATAGTAAAAATTAACACCAAATCAAAGAGCTGTGTCAGTGAAAACTTCCTCTCTGTTCTGATGCATCAATTTTCAGACTTCTACCGAGCAATATTGTTTCTTTTAGTATATTTTTATGGTGGTTCTGATGGGACATAATTTCCAGGCCCAGAGAAAAAAAGATACTTTATATAAAGGATTTATAGTTAGGTGAATTTCAAGTTACTTATTTTACTAACACTAGAAATTATTTTGTTCTTTCCAGTTACAGGAAGCCAAACAAATGGAAAAAGAAAGGCACCGTCAACACCATCATCTGTTACAGTCTCCAGTAAGCCATCGTGAGCCTGAATCACCTCATCTTAGATATTTGCCGCCTCAGACTGCTGATCATCTATCCCAAGAACATGAAGGAGATCTTGATCCCCATATACATGATATGGATAAAAGTCTCCAAGATGACACAGAGCCTGAAAATGGATCTGATATTTCCAGTGCTGAAAATGAACAGACAGAAGCTGATCAGGCAACTGCAGCTGAAAGTAATCTTGAGATGGGGGCTGTGGGATGCTTGCATGTGAAGGGCAGTAGGTGGGATGCGTTTTTTTGTGAAATGTGGAAAGAATGACTTCATGATTATCAGATACTTTGTGATAATTGTGATCTTTCCTATCAGTGGTAAAGCTAATTCACCTCCACCTGCAAAATACCTCTTAATGATACTGCACATTCATTAGCATCTCACAAGCAATGTGATTTATTATAGACTTCTTTTAAAGTTACCTTTCTAAAAAGAATCATAAATATTTGTTTCAAAATTACATAGGTACTTTAATTTTTTCCACATTAGTTTTATAGTTAAAGATCTACTTAGTGAGGGCTTTTAGAATACGGTTGAAAATTCAACGCGGTCATTGGTTTAGGGAGTTCATGCTTGTAATCCCAGGGTTTAGGAGACTGAGGTGGGAAGATCATGACTTTGAGGCTGGCCTGGACTGCACAGCAAGAACCTGTTTCAGAAAAAAAAGTAACAAAATTAAATATAAAAACAATTTTTGATAACCAAGTAACATACAAAAAATTCATTTAAAAGTATTTTTGTATCTTGTCTAGTAAGTAGTCAGCAAGGTTGAGGACATCTCAAAAAATTTTTCTTTGTTTTAATCTGTGTGTGAATGCAAGTGTGCTACAGGGCATGTGTGGGAGGCAGAAAACAATTTTGCATATCAGTCTTTCCAGATTACTTAGGACAGACTAGCTGTACGGGGGAACTTCAAGGAGTTCCCTGTCTCCACCTCCCTCCCATCTGACTGTAAGGGAACTGAGATTACAGACAAGCAACATTTTGTGCAGTCTAAGGATTTGAACTTAGGTCTTCACATTTACATAGCAAGTACTTGACCCACCTAGTCCTAGTCCAATTTCTGTGTGAGAGAAGTTAAATTGTCATAAAGACTAATTTTTATATAAAAATAAACACATGGAATTATTTTCTCTATTCTTTCAGCCTGGCAGGGAATTTGAGTTGTTCTCTTTGTTTCTCCCTAGCCTGATTTGAAAAAATGACAATAATTGGGTTGCTGTGTGTTGTGGATAGGGCTTAGTTAGACTTAATCTAGAATTGGTTCTTTGCTTTGAGGAAAGACTGCAGCTGTAGATTTTTTTTAAAACCACATTTTCTAGAGCTCAGTAGTGGCATAATAGATGTATATGTGTACATACCTGTTGGGAGGCAAAAAGGCAACCAACCTAAAGCATTCTTTGGGTGCTACCCATTTTATTTATTTTATTTTTTAAATAAGGGCTCTGACTGGCTTGGGGACTCACCAGTTAGGCTAGGCTGGCTGACCAGCCACCCCAAGGATCTGCCTGTTTTCCCTTCCCCAGAACTGGTTTTATAAGTATACATCACCATACCCAGTTTACATGTATACGTGTAATTCTGATTGCTCTAACCTCTCTTCCTTATAGACATCCCTTTTCTATACCCATGTTTTTGTTTTGTTTTGTGACCCAGTGTGACCGACCCTCCACTGGAGTCCAGCAGGCTCACTGGAGAGTACTCAGCTGATGGCACTGACTCCCAAGTTAGTCCCTCCCCCATCCTGTTGGCTGGTTGTGTGTAGGCAAGTACAGTTGCTTTGAGTCCATGATTGGAATAGCTATCATGGCTAGACGACTCATTCTATAGCTCTTTCTATGTTCTAGCTCTTACACTGTTCTGTTCCCATACCTGGTTTTGATCCTTACAGGAGGTGGTATAATTGTCGTTTATGGTTCAGCACTTAACCTCCATTTATTCTCAGCACCTAGTATAGTCATGTGTTCCTGCAAAGAGGGTCTTCTCTGGTTAAGGCAAGAGTAGCATTTGCCTTTGACACCTGGCTAGCGGTTTATTTTGAGGCAGTTTTACTGTGTAGCCCTGGCTGACCTGGAATGTGCGATATAGACCACACTGACCTTGAACACATGGAGATCTTCCTGCCTCTGTGGTGCTGACATCAACCTTTTTTATGCACTCTGAGTATGAAACTCAGGTCCTCATGCTTCCACGACAAGCCCTTTACTGACAGCTATCTCCCCAGTCTTTCTTTTGAAACTGTATTTGGAAAGGTTACCTTAGGCAAACCGACCATTCACACTAGGTATGCTACCAACCAATTAATCCATATGCTTTGCCTAAACTACTTTTGCCAAAAGTGCTCCTACTTTTCACTGCATGTTTGAAAGAGTAGATTCAAAGGGCTGATCTCTGACACAGGTGGGATTTTATTTGTTTACTCATTTATGCATTCAGCAAACATGTTGAATATTCTGTTTTATGTTCTGAGTGCTAGAATTTGGGGTTAAGATGATAGATATAGCTATTGCTTTTAGTGTTTGCTGCTTTCAGCCACCTAGCTGGACAGATGAGCATGAACAGGTAGTGTATAATTGGTTTCCTAGAAGAGGCATGCCTAGGTGGTTAGGCTGAGGAGAATTAAGAACATACCTTCATAGAGAAGGCAATGGTGTTTTAGTTGAGTTGCAGTAGATAAAACAACTAGCTAGAAAAAATGGAAAAATTTCCAACAGGAATAACATGGGCTGTGACAGAGGAACACGTACTGTGTGTGAGGCACCACTGTAGATGTCTTATAGAATGCAGGATTATCAGTAAAGTAGTATTGTTTTAACCATGAAGGCATTGTTCTAACAACTGGTAATAAATAAACCTTCAGTGCAGAGTACATGTTCTAGAGCACAACTTTATTAATAGTTAACTTCTCTAGGCAGTTCTTGTGTTATAAATATTAATCACTAATATATTTCTGTCAGTTTACATGAAAATTTTAATGTACTGTTTTGTAGATGTTTTTAGATAATGGCTTTGTATATTTACTCACATTGAAGTTACAATTTTCTCTTTTTTTGCTTGTTTTATTTTTTGAGACAGGGTTTCTCTGTGTAGCCCTGGGTGTCCTGGAAGTCACTCTATAGACCAGGCTGGCCTCCAACTCACAGAGATCCACCTGCCTCTGCCTCCCAAATGCTGGGATTAAAGGCCTGTAAGCTGTTTTAGCAAACTGCACCATACAAATGAAAGCTTAGAAATGGTAGAAAAAGTATCTACCACAGAGGAGGATTCTGATGGCTATTTTTTTCTGGTATATGATGTAAATGATTGATTGTACATACTTATTTAACAGGTTTCTCATTGTGACACCTGTTTTGTAGAATATGGCAGATAGTAGGTTTTGAGAAAACAGTATTGTCAAGTCATAATCCTTTATAATAGTCTGCATGGGAAGCAGTGGAGAATAACTGTAGCCAACAGATATAAAGTCCCCTGCCATTTGTTGTAGGGAGGTGTTTGCCAGGTGCCTGGAGCATCCTAAAGTGCTAATTGAACCACCTTGAGGTACTTTCAGCATTTCAAAAGCTCCAGGTGTGATCATGTTTTTGTCTGAAGTCATCTATACAAGTTTTAAGATTCCATCAAGTTTTCTTTAGCTGCTCAGAAGTTCTGCAACCTGTTTTCATTTTTATTAAATTGAAAAATAATTCTTTTAAAGCATGTATGCTTTTACATTGGAAATGTAGATTCTTTTGTGAAGAAACAATGAGCAAAACATTAGTGGTGCTCCAAGTGGCTCAATCTCTGTCTCTTTAGGTATTTTTCTGAAGTAAAATGCAATGTTAATATTTTTATCAAATTAAGACCATTACTTTGATGTTGGATAAGGCTTAGTACAGACATGTATGTACCAAGTACATGTTAATGTGCACAAGACACTAAAAGTGCTTCATTCAGAATACTGTTAGAAGTTTGGTCCTATATAGGAATAATCTATGAACACTTATTAAGTTGAATAGTAGAATAATAGGTTATCAAATAGAACCTTGGTAAAAATGGGTTTGAATTTGAAAAATGCTTAAGATTATGAATTCCGAAAATCTAAGATTATATTGTTCCAAATTTTTTACATTCATTTTAATTTTTTCCAAAAATGTTTTTCATTATACATATTTGGTAAGTTTCTTAGAAAGTTAAAATAATATTGTCTTGAATTTTTCTCTTTCAAAGCTTTATCTAAAAATGATATATTGTATGATGGAGACTGTGAGGAAAAGCCACATGATATTGTCCAGAGCATTGTAGAAGAAATGGTGAACATCATTGTTGGAGGTACTTGAAATAGTTTATTATTTTTTAAAGAGTTTTATCTGACCATGGAAAACCTTAAATGAAAAACCAAATGGGTGAAATTATCAATTTTTAAATTAGTGTTTGTATGTTATATATATGTCTGCCAAACATAGTATGCCCCCTTCCCCATCCGTACAGGATGCCCTCTAAGATTTCTAGTGGATGCCTTCAGCCACCAGATAGCATCAAACCCTGTATCTACCTTTTTCCTGTGCACAGCTGCACAGGTTTTTTGCCCTGCCCATGCTCTGTGGTCAGAACATCGGTGTTGTAAGTACATCAGCAAACTGGTAAAAACATCTTTCTTCACTGTTTAAGAATATTCATGTTACTATAATAATTTCAGTATAAGACGTTTTCTAGTCTAGACATTTTACATTTTTCACTTAAAGTACTTTTGCCACTTCTTTAGCTTTTCCTTAGCATATTTGAACTTTTTGAGGTTACTGCTGACTGAAAGAAGGCTTATTCAAAGCAGTGGATCTGATAACTGAGGCAGCATTGAATGGTTGGATTGCATACACACTATGGATACTCGTTCAAAGATATTATTTTATCCCATGTAGGTTGTAGTGGGTTTGCAAACAATTTCAAGTTGCTAATTAACATACAGTTTAAAACTTATGAATTGCTTATTTCTGCAGTTTTCTTGTTAATATTTTTAGTTTGCAGTTGTAATTGAGTAATTAGCTGAAAGGTGGTGCTACAGATAAAAGGAAACTACTACATTTAAACATTTTTGACATAGAAGAGGACGTTATCCCTAGCTTCTGTTGGAATCTGTCATAAAACCCCTCCTCCCTACCACACTGAAAGTTGATTGATTCCATTTCTGGGTTTTGTTGTTGTTCTAGGTAACAAAAGAGCAAGGGTGTATTTTTCCATTACATCAAAAATGCTAACCTTTATTAAAATACCTGTTTTGATTTTCATTGATTTATATCTTTTGGAGAAAAAATGTGTTTTATTTTGTTTTTGTATTGAGACAGTGTTTTGGTTTTAAAGCCAGGCTAGCTTTAAATTCATGATCTTCCTGCTTCAGCCTTTCAAATGTTGGCGTTGTAGCTGTGTATCCAGTCTTCTGAATGTTGAGATAATAGGTATTCACTGCCACATTTGAGTGAAAAATCACAGTTTTCTAAAATAGCTAAATGCTAGGCTGGAGTTGACATAGGATCAGTGCTTTACCTAGAAATTACACTATAAAAACTATATGGTCAAGTTTGTTAGGCATTTCACTCTTATTTTTCATATTATTATTATAGTGCGGGTCAGATTTGAGGTCAATCCATTGAAACTTCAATTCATGATGACATGCACAGGGTAAGCATAGGACCTGTTATACAATCTGGGAAATAGTATTAGATGCATAGGATAGATTTGAATTTATCTAATTTAGCTATATTGACTTAACCATTAAGGCACTCTCAGAATATATTTCCTTCCTTACTAAAGCCCTTCATGTGATCTCCTTGTATCTTTTGCATTCATCATTTTGTCTAGCACATTCTTAGGTTGTGTGCACAGTTGTATGTCTGTAAGGGACTACAGACATTAACTCCATAGCTTGTGAAATGTCTGTAGATAAGAAAGAAAGGGTTATGTTCCATTACCAATGAACAGTTAAAATTCAAGAGAAAATTAATAATTTCTACTGAAAATGAGCTAGTCGGGCTTCCTATATTGGGTAACACAGGGATGACATGCATCATTGCAGGTATGGAAGAATGGCATTTGATGTCCTGGAGGAGATGATTAAAGAGTGGTGATTTGGTACAATAGATGTGATGTTATAAAATAGAAGAAAAAAAAAATCACAGAAGCAGTTTAACAGGGTTTTAAATTCCAGGGTTAGGATTTTGGATTTCATTCTACGACAAAATGAGTCTGAATTGGAGATTTTAGAACTGAGAATTTTGATAAGATCTCTACTTTAAGAAACCAAGTCTGGGTGCTGGAGAGATAGCTCAGTGGTTAAAAGTACTGGCTGCTCTTTCAGAAGACCTGGGTTCAATTCCCAGCTCCTACATGGAAGCTCACAACTGTCTGTAACTCCAGTTCTAGGGCATCTGACACCTTTACAACAATGCATATAAAATAAATTTAAATAAATTATTTAAAAAAAAAGAAAAGAAACAACATCTGAAAAAAGGAAGGCAGTAACAGACTTGTTTCACAGGAGTCTGGTCGAAGTATAGTAAGAGTAGAAATGAGAGAAAGCAGGAACGGTAAGTAAAGTAACAGACTTTGTAACCAATTAAGTAGTTAAGTAAGACAAAGTGTGTATGTTACAGGTTCTAGTGTTACTTCATAGTATACTGGATACACCGAGAAGACTCAAAAAGACTTCAACATAAGAGTTGTCCTCATTTATTAAGTTTTATTAAAGCTTAAAGGTACAGAGTAATACCATTAAAGGAAAAGGTAATGCCGAGCTATGGTGTCGCATGCCTTTAATCCTAGCACTCAGGAGGCAGAGGCAGGTGGATCTCTGTGAGTTCAAGGTGGCCAGCCTGAGCTACAAAGCTACATAGAAAAGCCCTGTCTGGAGGGGGCGGGGGAGGAAAAGGTACATGAGCTATATGAAGGAAGTTAAGTCTAGAGGAAACCTGGTGTCTATTTTCAGGAGTCCTCCTCCTGTGAAGCCATCAGGATATTCTTAGTTCTTCCAGTATCGAATTGTGGACATTAACAAAATGTTTAATATGTATTTGAGATTTCAGGACCAGGTTTTTTACCTAGCATGTACTAAAATTCCAGGCTCCCCAAAGAAAGCTTGGTTCACCATAGTGTAAACTGTACAAATGTTTGGACTTAGTGACCCAGCTCTGGATAGAAATACTCCTAAAACAACAATACTCCTAAAACAACAAAAAACAACACTTTGAAATATACATTTCTAGGATTAGTCATAGACCTATTACTCTTCTTCATCAGTAGCCTCCCAGTTTTAAAGCTCAATACATAGATGTTGAGTGACATACTCTTGGCAGAATTAAGTGGTAGTATAGAAATTACTTGGGGAAAAGCACTAATACTTTCATTTGGTATACTGAATTTGACCTTCAGGTTATTTATCTGTATAGTCAAGTGTAGACACAATAGAAATTAGCACTTTGTCCTAGACAGAGAGCATGTGCTATTGGTACATTGTGTTAGTAAACTTTATGTCTCTGTGTTAGGTATTTGAGAAAGTAACTTCAAGGAAGAAAAGGGTTTTTTTTTTTTTTGTTTGGTTCACACTTTGAGAGATTTAAGTATAGGGTCCCTCAGTTCTATTGCTCTTGGACTCAGACACTTGTGGAGGAAGCATGTAGTAGAGCAAAGCGGCTTATCTCCTGGCATATAGGAAACGAGGGGGAAGAGTGAGGGACGCATCTCCCAGTGACTGCTTCCTCCAGCCAGTCCTCAGTGACTAATGCATCTCCAAAAATAGTACCACAAGCTCAGGACCATGCCTCAACACATGAGCCTGTAAGGGACATCTCATATTCAGATACAGCATTCTGCTCATGCCCCCAAAGGTCCATGGATATTTCATGATGTAGAATGCATTTAATCTAATTCAATGAATCCCCAACGTAGTAACAGTTACAGCATTAGTTACATCTTCACCAAAGCAAATCTTTAAAATCGAAACAGCAAGCTATATAACTTCCCCATCCCAAAGGAAGGACTGTGAGCAAGAAAAGCTGCAGCCCATCAGGACAGACAGTAAATCCTATGGCTGCACATTAGGCATCCAGGGCTAGCCACTGCCCTATGTGGCTTTGCCTGTGCTCATTTTCTGGCCAAACTGCAAGTTTTCAAACCCTTATGTCATTTTTTTTCTCTCAGTTCTAACTGCAACCTGACCAAAGGCAGCCAGTAATCCCTATGCTGCAGCTTGACTGCTGAGCTGCCTTGAAGTTTGTTCCACCAGGTTCCTTCCTCCCGGTAAATTTTACATCCTACAAAGTTGCAGGACACAGACAAAATGTAGGCAAGTGTTTTTTGGTTTTTGGGTTTTGTTTTGTTTTGTTTTTTACACAATGTAGCATGACTGGCTTCTAGGCCAGTTCTTGATACTGCACAAATTCAGTCTTCACTGGCTACTTTTTTTATCAGAATTCTGGTTTTTTGACTCCCCCCCCCCCCACACACACACACAAGAATTAGGGTGTATAGCCTGCTTGCAACACTCTAGACCAGTAATTCTCAACCTGTGGGTAGTGACCCTTTTGGGGGACGAATGACCCTCTCAAAGGGGCCATCTAAAGACTATTGGCAATCACAGATATTTATATTATGATTCATAGCAGTAACAAAATTATAGTTATGAAGTAGCAACAGAATAATTTTATGGTTGGGGTTACCACAACATGAGATACTGTATTAAAGGGTCACAGCAGTAGGAAGGTTGAGAACCAGTGCTCCAGACCTTAGATATAAAACAGTTTGTGAAAGCAAAACACTCCTAAATAATTACACCTGGAGCTCTGAAGGCAAAACAACAACTGTCACTTCTTAGTACTCATTTTTTGTCTTAGACCTTTTGTCACAATAACAAATATCTAAGATCATGTGTAGTATCTGTTCTTATCAGTTTAATATCTGATACGTCCTCTATCCAAGGACAATATATTAAATGGATTTTTGGAGCTAGGAGTTGGAATAGGAGCTTGCTCCGTCCACTCCACGCATCGACCTGGTATTGCAGTACCTCCAGGAAGTCCTGAGTTCAATTCCCAGCAACCACATGGTGGCTCACAACCATCTGTAATGAGATATGGTACCCTCTTCTGGCATGCAGGCATATATGGAGGCAGAATGTTGCATACAAAATAAATAAATAAATAAATAAATCTTTAAAAAAATATCTGGAAGAAGTAATTTAAGAGGAGGAAAGAATTATTTTGGTTCGCTGTGCAGGGTTTTCAGGTATGTTTGCTTGGCTCTATTGTTTCCTTCTGGGCCATGGTGAGACACAACATCATGCTGGGGAAAATGTGGTGGACAGAGCAGCTCACCTTGTAAGGGAAAGAGAGCAAGAGGTGAGCATGACACAAAGTACAGGAGCATCATAAGCTGGAGGCTAAGCCCTGAACACAGAGTACTAGTAGATCTAACTCACAGCAGGTGTCAGTCTATTTAAACTGGTAGTTGAA